GGAACAGAACAGAGCATTTAGCTCAAAATATAGAAGTCGAGACAAGCGTCTGTGTCATGTGTTGTAAATATGGGAAACAGAATACAAAAGGCCCATTTAATTCACATGAGATTCCCGGTCCCTCATGTACCACGTTTGGTGCTGATTTATTTGAACTAAGATGGCAAGAAAACCTCCTCTTGCTGTTTTGGGTTGGATTTTTAGTTTAGTTTTCTTTTGTTTTTAATCAAGCTCTTGCTCAAGCCCTGTGAGTAAGAATTCAGCAACACATTGTAAATCACAGTTTGCAAGTTCTGTGACTGCAGATGAGATAGTAAAAGATAATGCTGTATTATTCACATGTGGCTTGTTCGTCATTCAGGCACCACATGTCAGATTCTCCCTATGCACAGCTGAATGTGTGAGCAGAAAAGTTGGTAGAGATTGCAAAGAACACAGTTTTAAAGTCCTGGTTATTGGAATCCTTTGGTTATTGCTGAAACAATTCAGAATCTTATGAATACAAGCGTAAACCGTTCTTTTTAACGGTCTTTGAGTCAAAGTCAATTCACGATGAAACCGTTTCAAAAGAGGAGCTGACAAAAAAACCCCAGAAATAGGCAGTCAGCAAGCCAGCAAATGGTAGAGAAAATTATATTCCAAAATGAATCGTCTGACATCCCATCATGCTAACAAAAGCTTTCTGAAAGCTTCACATCCCAATTAAACATCCCAGCAAAACTTCTTAAACAGTGTAAGATTATTTTAAGGGTGTCAGGGGCTGTCGTTGTTTACAGTTGCCAGAGCCATGGGGTTGTGAAGGACACGTCGGTCAGGACTGCCCTTCAGACCTACAACAGAACAAGGAACGATCATTCTTTTTGTTTGAGGGCATCCACGCCAACTTCTGCCCAAGGTCTCTCTAACTGAATTTTGTGCTGATCGGATGTCTTGCTATGTTGTCATCTACCAGATGGCTTTAAATTAATTTCATTTTTACCTTGATTTAAATTAATTTCATTTTTACCTTGATTGGAAAAAAAAAAAAAGCTAATGCAATCCGAACAGGTATGTTTTTGGCTATCAGCAAGCATCTCCCACCCCTGCTCCCTAATTCAAGAATTTCAAACAGGTATGTTTTTGGCTATCAGCAAGGATCTCCCACCCCTGCTCCCTAATTCAAGAATTTCAAACCTTTGGCCAAAATTATAAAAATTTGGCCCTATAAATGCTTTGTGAAAATGGGCATCCAGACAAAGAAAAGATGCCCACCAAGTGGTCTAACTGAAGGAAGTTCACAGCTCAGCACATCAGAGACCTTATAAATGCTGCACACTGCAGTCAGTCAGAGCTCACCTTCTCTTGGACAGCAAAATCACCCTCGGAGAACAAGGCACTTCTAAAGGAAAATGAAATCACTGCTGCAATAATATTCACCTCCCAACTTTGACTTCCACTGGGTGAGTACTCCTAAGCCGTAGAAGTGGTCACTAGTAACATCCTGTAAACATTTAGTTTTGGCCCAGAATGGGCAGCAATGGTATTAAAATTATGAGTAAGTTAAAGACTGAGAAGCTCTGACCTGTAATGTAACATTAATTCTGTACAGAGCTGCTTCACTTTTTCTGGTTTTCAGTCATTTAGACTCTTTCCAGTTATTGAGGGTACAGAAAACTTAAATAGCTTTAAAAGGAACAAAGTTCTTGTGTCCTAAAGGATAATGGAATGATCTTCCTAACTACAGAAACCGACTTATCTATAGAAATAGATATAGATATGGAGATATGGGTATAGATTTAATATAATTTAATATAATTATATACATATTATATTATATATTATGTATAAATATATATATAATATAACAGGTATTTGAAGCAACCAAGCAAAAGAACAAAACCCCCTGTATTAGGTACTACTGGAGAAGGGCTCACCTGAACAAGTTTACATAAAAACACACATATATGCACTTATCTGGAGCATGCAGAAGGTGTGGTGCCACTATCCTTCCTTTCAAACAGATGACTGGCCTGTTAGAGATTTATGGAGAATTTTGAAAACTATTCCTCTTTTCTAGTATATTTTGAGTAGAGTATTAGCATTTGGAGGTATGAGTTGAATGCATGATTTTTATTAATAGTGTAGATGGTTCACCAGCTGCAGTTTAAGAAGTACCTAAATGTAAGTAATTTCCAAAATGTCTGTACTAAAAAATGAACTGCAACAAAATCCATCCATAATTATTGATCACTTGCTTTTAGCTTTAAATCATGTATGAAGTCTGTGTCATTTTGTCATTTGTCTCAGAAGCAAAATCACAGCAGAACAAAATAGCATTACAGGTTTATTATGTCTCAAAATATAGAAATATATTCCAACAGCATATTTTAAAGAATAATATAACAATAATCTTCAGTTTCTTATTCTCAAAATGGTACACCATTATTTAAAAATATATTACTTAATGTACCCAAAATTTAGTTTCCATCAAATCCCATTTAGAATAAATTGAGTTCAAAAAAGCATATCTACCTACCCAATTTATACAGAAACCAGTAGATTTTTTTGAAGACAACCCAGGAATTTAACTGTTCAAAAACATTAATTCAGGTGGGGACGTTATATTTTGCTATACACCATTGTGCATGAGCTGCAACTAAACGTAGATATGTAGGTAATGTCAGTATAAAATAAAGATGGAAGTGTAAAATGGAACTGTTGTATTAAGGAGAAGGAGCTACCAAGACTGAAATTAGAACTGTTAATTTTTTTTAAAAAATGAGTGTATGCATAAAAGGATTTATGTATTACACCAACAGCAAGATAAAATAAATTAGTTTCTGCAAAAAAGACATTTGCACATACACATGCATACACACAGTTACACACACACGCTGATTTTATCAGTCTGTAATATTCTGAGTTTTCTGAAATATGTTTTAAATAACCAGAGAAGTATGAGTTTACATGAATAGTCTGTCTAAGGAGAAACTGATATGTCCTATTTATTTTTTAACGACTCTCTGAGAACTGTTTAAATGAAGCATTTTTAATCTAGGCAATTCATGATAAAAGCTTATATTATAATTAACCATGTAATAAAGAGCAAACAGAGTTTCTATTTTCCCATTTTTATAACATTAAAACAGAGGGTGTCCAAAGACATTAAATGTACCCATATTCAAAATATGCATATGGGTGGTGATGGTGGGAATGATAATCTGGAATTAGTTGTGCAATTCACAACCACAGGATTTCATTTGAGGTCAAAAATTTAGGGAGATTAAAATTTATAGAATCGTAGAATGTGTTGGGTTGGAAGGGACCTTTAAAGGACATCTAGTCCAACCCCCCTGCTTTAACTAGATCAGATTGCTCAGAGCCTCATCAAGCCTGACCTTGAATGTCTTCAGAGATGAGGCCTCCACCACCTCCCTGGGAAACCCATTCCAGTGTCTCACCACCCTCATTGTAAAGAACTTCTTCCTAATGCCTAATCTAAACCTATCCTGCTCTAGTTTAAAACCATTGCCCCTCATCCTATGGCTACACGCCCTTGCAAACATTCCCTCCCCAGCTTTTTGGTAGGCCCCCTTCAGGTACTGGAAGACCTAGAGCCTTCTCTTCTCCAGGCTAAAAAAAAATTATTTAAATTTTTTAAAGAATTTTCAAAATTACAATTAGTTAATGCTAAAAAAAAAGGACAGATCTTAAGTATCGTGATTTAAACCAATCTCCACCTGATAGAAAAGCAGATGGGACTGAAAGTAGGCTGCAAATTACCCAATGGCTCTTATGAGACGTGTTTTCCATCTTTGTCTGAAAACAGCCACCATCAAGGACAAGGCTTTCAATTGAACAGGTGATGACAACTGCATCCCTCGTGTCTTGCCTTGCACACTCAGAAAAGGCATCCAAATGTGGGAACTAAATATAGTGAAGCCCTTCTGTACCCCGTCTTCTGTATATTTTGTGTATATAGTAACTTATCTATATAATGGGAGGCTTGTGTGATTTTTTTGCTTAATTTTACCTTGTGCTGTTATTATTAAAATATTTGCTGGAGCAGCGTAATAGGCAATAGACTGATACGATTTGAGGTAAGAATGTTGTAATTCAATTTTTAGTGTTAACTTGGAAAGTCATAGGTAGAGGCGAGCGTCTGTCTCCACAGAATTCCAGAAGCTTTGAGCCTTTTGCAAACTCTGCAGCCCACAAGCCAAGAAGTAACACACTCCTCCAGTTACACTCATCTTGTTAAACAAAATAGTTCTAACAATTATGTGCAATCATTTCCTTTCTATTTTCTATCTCCTATTTATTTATTTAAGCTCTGTTCAACATTTCACTTTTTCTAATGGAGCAGAACTTCTAAAAGAAAAAAAGTATGTTTCGCCAAGCAGTTTTGTTTAGTTTTTTTCTGTGCCTTTTTCTAAATAAATACCCCACCACAGTTTTCATTGGCACAATATGACCAAATGTATTTTAGTTCCTTTAACAATATGAAGCAGTTATAGAAGTTCTGGAGTTTTTAGCTTTAAACAAAAATCTATACAAAGGCTTTACTTTAAAATACTGAAATGGAATGAAATAGTTTCCAGTATGGTCAACTGAAGTTTGTGAAGTTCTACTGCATAGTGAGGTGACCCATAAAATAAATGGTTCTGAAATTTTGTTCATACAAAAGGAACTATATACTTTTAAATAAATAAAAGCTACTATATACATTATACTGTACATTTAAATGAGAGATGACATGAAATGGAATAAATTTAGAACTGCCTTTTCATCAGCAACGCTCATATCTTGACTTTATTACAATCCTGAATAAAACCCTCTGCTTTAGATTAATTTTTTTTTTTTTTTTTAATTCTTGTGGCAGGCCGATGCAGCCACCAC